GTCATGTTGGAACAGAGTAAGAAGCGTAAACTTTAGGGTTCTTGAAGTATGCCCATATGCATCCATATGCAGGAATTTGTTATCATCGTGATCTGTTTCTAAATCGTTAGCTCAAAGTTCAGCTACAATGGAGAACTTTATCTAACTTAGTATGCGTTTTCCCCCAAAAATGCAATTGGTAGATCCCTCGCACACGGCTGGGCCCCGCCGTCTTCGTGTTTGCCATTGACCCAGTCAGGACCGCGTTCACCACAAAGCAATGAGAGGAGTGGATGGAAGTTGGAAGAATTCCCAGGAGTCTTCCAGGTGTTCGAAGTCTGGCATCTAGACACAATCTCAATGGATTTGCGCAGTATCAGCATGTGTCAGCACGTGTTGTTTCAGCTGGTGGACGCTAGTTATTTTGTTGGCCTCGTTTAAAAGAGCTTGGGATTGAAGTGGCAGACTTCCCCCGCAGCAATCGGTGCAGACATAGAGGCTGAATCACATCGATACCCTTGTCCTTCTTTGATTCAGCCTGCAGACTTCAGAAACAAGCAAACTGGAGCTGACGTCCCTCTAAATGATGGCTGCAAACATGGTCTGGGTAGTGATGCAAGCTCCACCTCCTTTTTGAGAACCTGAAAGAACATGAAACTATAGAGACCATTAGAGACCCAAGAACGTCATCCAATACGAGTAGCCTGAAACGTCCTAAAACACATCATCTAGGCAAAGGGCCTTCTGCAGAATCCGACCTCCTACAGTAAACCACGCGTGATTTTTCCTTCACCAGCTCCTTGTGCTTGGCTCCTTCGGTCAGCTTGGCCCAAACCACCGAATGCAAGTGGCTTTGCAAGTTCTGAGTCCAGGTACATGGAGGTGATGCATCCAACGTGCTTGGTACCAAGCCCTGCTCCAGCATGAGCCTCAAACACCACACAATCTCCTCACACGTGGAGACCTGGTGCAGCACTTCATTCTTCCATGCTGACTGAACCAAGCGTCCAACGGCGTCCTCGGCCCAACAGAGAAGGAAGCTTCCAGGACGTTCACGAAGCTGTTGGCTGGCAGCCTTCACTGCAGCCTCATAGGTCTTCATCAGAAACTTGTGCAGCTTGTTTTGCAGGTCAAGGTCAGATATCGCCTTTTCCACCGCTTTCCATGCAACCATACTCCGGTCCAAACATGGAAGAGCCACCTCTTGCCCATCCAACTGCACCGGTGGCACCTGTAAATCGGAGAGCGTCTCCTTTTCTTCCTGACTCTTTCTCTTCCGGAGATTTCTTTTCGGCTTCTCTTTCCCTAAGCTATCAGCTTCAGCTCGTTTGTTGCCCGGCTCATCGTTGTCTAGCAACCAGTGAGGCTCTGTATCTGCAACATACCAAAGCCTAGTTCCATCCGGCATAAATGACGAAGGGTAGTAGCCGTTCGTGAGGTCAGAATGGTCGTCCTTGCCCTCCTTCCAGCATCTCATGTGCAGTGCTTTCAAGGCGACTTTGGAAGGATTCAATGTGACATAAACATTATTGGAATGCTTGCGTCGCTCAAGCACATCCAGTTCCAAGACAACTTGGAAGCGATCGGTCGTTTGGCTTTCTGAAAGACTGGCCCAAGGATTGTAGTAGGGTGCATCTGCACTTCCAAGTGGCTCCGGCCAGGCGTAGGTCTCTGCGGTTTTAAAGGCAGGAGAGCTCCAAACCCCATTCTTGCCACCAGCTTCTCGGGGACCGCCGGTCAAACGACGCTCTTTGAGGATCCATGGCAGCTTTGGCCATCTTGTCCCATGGAAGCTCTTGATTGGGACTGAGTTTGCCCCTTCCCCATCTTCGCCAAGGGGAACCATCCCTTTCAGCTCGACACGTAGCCACGACGACTCAACATCAGCAGACGCTCTTCCACCAGCTTTTCCATTCACCACATGACGCTCTTCTCTGACAGCCTGGAAATCGAAGCAGTCGTCAAAGCCGGTGTCTGTCAAGGGATAGCGATCAAAGGCCCTGCTCGTCGTCCACAGGAAAATGAGCAGGCCTCGGCACTCACTCAACAAACACTCTGTCCCGGGTGGTAGAGCCACCAATTCAGAGGGTGTCGTCTGAGTCGGGGCCTGATTCTTGCGTGCCCATCTTTCAGCACTTTGGGAAGCACCAGAGTGGCTAGAGGCCGAAAGCGCCGCTCCTCCTGTTTGGTCACTGCTCTGAGTGCGGTCCTCGCGACGGCGCCATGGGGGAACAATCTCGCTTTGTGATGCTTCGAGAGCTTTCTGAAAGGCTGGCATCGAGTCTTGCTCAACGGCAATGCCATGACGCAACGGGCAAGTCTAATTGGCACATTCTGCGATTTCGCCTGTCAAACCTGCGAAAGCATGTGCGGAAAACATAGTAGGCTCAGTTCAGGGAGCAGGACGATTTGGTCGAGGAATCATTGAAGTCTTCTGATTTCTGATGTTCATCCTTTAGATTCAGTTGATTCTCCCCATCTGTGCTCAACTTGATTGTACAGTCCGCGTGAGGCTGAAAGAGCCAAATCACGTGCTGCGGCGATGTGCCTCGCTCTTCTCACTTCGTTGCCTCTCAGTTCCCATGGTGCGCCTTCTGCTGCCGGTTCTTCTCGATAGTGGCTTGGCCAGCCTGCTGGAACTTGGCAAGTGCCAGCGATTTCGGCCTCGCCTTCATTTCACCTGCGGAGAGTGATGCCCGGGCAGAAGTGGCAAGACTTCCCCCAAATATCCCCAACATCCTATATGTTGGGCCTGTGTATATTTAGTGGCGACCTATGTGCATATTGGGATTGGGCAAAACGTCGGCCAAAGGCGTAATGTTGAAACATGACCTGCTTGCACCCGCAGCTGCTCAAGTGGCTAGTGGCTATCCCGGCAATGACATTGCACACATGCATGGCAGCATCAAAACACACCCGGCCGTCAGCCTACGAAAACAAAACGTAACTTGCCGGCCGTGACAGAACTTTCATCCGCCTTCACCTGGCCGAACCTTTCACCATCCGTCTCAGGGCCATCTGCATGTGGCATGCATGGCAGCCCGTCAAGCGTTCGAATGAAAGGAAGGGAATCAAGCCCTGTCAATCGTGGACTTTATATGACCTTATTTCCAGACTTGGTCTTGTGCAAACCAAACCAGCCAAATTGATGAACAGTGCTTCAAGTTTCGATTTGTCCGTGGGTGTTTTGTACTCCTTTGGAAGGATATATTTGGCTTTCCACATGCTGGCGCTTTCTGTTTTCTCACTCTAAGTCTACGTGTCCTCTTGTCAGGTCATCTGAGTTCGATGTCGATCTGTCTTCCATACTTTGAACCTTCGAAGGATTGTCCCACAAAATGTCCAAGTCAGTGGGTTCTCAGTACATCTCAGTACATTGTGAGAAGTGTGCTCTTGCTTGCAACCTCTCTCTCTCTCTCTCTCTGCTGTCCTTTTCTTTTAAAGCAGCTCAGAAATCGTCAAACTCTGCCGGGCAATCAGTATGCAAAAGATCTGACATGTCAGAAGGAGCTGACACAGAATGGAAGGCATCTATCCAAATGCCAAGAAGTTTCTTTTGCCTCAGGATCGGTCGAGACGGTGACATCCTTCCCACAACGGTTTTGGTCTATCCCTGAAGAATCCATTGGTGCACTAGCTCACCTAGCCCAAAGACATTTCTTTTGGTTGATGGAAAGATGGCTTAATCTTCCGAACAACGGGGGGGTCCTGGCCGCCCTGATCAGGCCCCGCGAGGTCAGGGTGAGTGGATCGGGGTTCTCTAGCCGCCCCGACGGAGTGCCCAATAGATTAGTTGACTGTGGTCTGTTGAATGTCGACAAAGAATGACAAAGACACATCCGGTGGGGGGTCCATGCTGATCATGAAACAGATGGGACGGAAGGCACTCCAAGACTTGGTTCTGATCCTTCCAGCTTGTTGAAGCAGGAGGTTCAACTGCCTGTATTTGGGATTGTCACTGTCATCTTCATTGATCCCTCATACCTCCAGCCATACTGTCCTCCACCCAGCCTCCAGTCCCTCCTTCTCCGAGGCTCAGAGTGGCCTCGTGGGTGACCGAGTCGGAGGACTCCAGGCAGCCGGACATCCAGGGTTTGCGCTGTCCACCCCAGTCACCACTGTAGTGCAAGCTCGCCTCAGTCGACGGCACGATGAAACGAAACGAGGAACATGGAGCGAGAGGTTTTGGACATGTATGCAGCGGATGCAGGGACCAAAACAGGAAAAAACAATGAGAAGCAAATTTCGAAGAAATTAGCAAAAGTCGGAGGTTGGACTTGTATTTTCTAGGGTGCGGTCCGGTCGTCTATATGAATGCTGTACCTAAGGTTGCATGCGCACAACCATGTCATAGAGGACACAAACAAAGCTATTTTGACCCCCCATAGAGGACACAGGGAACCGCCAGAGTCACCCCACACTGTCCCACCATGGAATTGCAGCAAACAAGAAAGTCACCACAAAGTCATCACATTCTTGTCTATCCCATTGGAATTGCGATTCTCAGGGGCTACTGAAAGCAATGTCTTTGAATTGTTTGTATGCCAACACAATGGAAATTGCACACATCCATGGTAGTTCAAAGCTTCAACATCAGCATCGTCACCACGCAATTGCAGCACAAACGACGTGTGCCTCCCCATGCCTTCAGCCATCACAGCTCGAATGCAGGCCTTTTTTCTTCCAAGTGCTGTGTCTTGTGTGTTTTGCGACAGCAAACAGAGGGCATCACTCCAGTGTCTGTACAGAGGTGTGCTCGAAATCTTTGCGCACTCAGCAAATTTGGACAGATATTCTGCACACACACACAAACCCAAAAAAGTAAGCTCAGGATCGTGGTTTTGCCTCATCTGCCTCTAGAAAATGAGCTGTGTTGCCTCCACCCCTGCCGCACTACCTCCCTTTCAACATAAAGTTAAAAATGTGTGCTCTTCCAAATATTTCAGAACATAGTTCTCAACAAAATTCACTCCTGATATCTGATACCTTATGACAGGGTTAACCCCTCCATTTTATAGTGGAAATTCACATGGCGGCACAAACATGTACAAACAACATATTGGGTCAACGGGGGTCGCCGGACGCAAATGATCAACTCTGCTGCTGATGATTACTATGATGATGATGATGCCGATGATGCGCAAACGCATTACCGACATTATCTTGATTATACGCTTATTTATGCATTATGTCTAATATATGTAAAAAGCTGATGGCGTAGGCTGAGCTGATGCGCCCGGCATCATGGCCGGGTTCGGGGTGGGGCCAAAACGAACTTTGGTTGCATGATGCGTTATGAACATGATGCGGATGATGCGCTGATGTGTTACATGACGCGTATGATGCGCTTGTGTGCTATGGATATGATGCAGATGATGCATTGATGTGTTACGAGAATGATGCGTGGGATGAGCTGATGATGTTGTCTTTAAAAACCTCTTGGAGTTCATGAACCCCAAGACGATAAGTTGAGCGGCCCAAGACCCTGGTTTTCCAGCCCTCCGCACGGTGCTTTCCTGGCAACCTCCAAGTTTACCCAACATGTTGCGTCGATCGCGTAGATACGTCAAGCTGAGTGGCATATTGATTCGCATTGAGCTTCCTGTCATCCACGTCGCGGGTAAACTTGTTGAATTCGTCCTAGGGACATGCATGATCGCTTCACTCTCTGTGGCGAGCTGGGCAAGTGTTTCCCCATACCAAAGCTAAGGCTCTGAAAACTCTCCTTTCCAGCATCCCACACTGTCTGCATGGTGAACGGAGCCAGCTGGAAAGGCATGGTTCAAGAAGTACCTGAGGCGGTCGAGGTCGTTTCCTTTTGAGGTATTCAAAGGGTGTATGCCATAGTCTCCTCTGTTTCCTGGGACCACCAAGACTTGGGCTTTTCGAACTCTGAGTGTCTGATCTCGAAGAGTGAAAGATTAACCTCGGGGCCCACTTGCTTTCTTTTGGGCTGGGAGGATCTGGGAGGCATCTGAAACCAGGGCTATGTCACATGGCCTACTGGTCTCATCTTCTTCAGGAGTTAAATACTAACAGTATCTAACAGTGGCCGATCATCCCACTCAAAGCAAGCCACTGAATGCCTCCAAATCCAAGGTTAGGCTGGGCCTTTTTCAACCTCAGCTCTGAGATGATGGTGGTGATGCTCTTGCAGAAACTACAAAGTCTTAGTATGTCTTTAAAGTGCCACAAGATAGTGATTTCAATACTGCGTGATAACACTGACTGTGCCTCCTCATGCTTCACAGTAACAGCTGCCGCAACTTCTGGAATTTTGAGGATGACGGCTCAAGGATGAACATTCCACCATTGAACCTCAGCAAAGTCAATCACGCGAGCAGTGGAAGGAGCACATATATCACTTTGCAACTCCAGACTCAAGTGGTATGCCAGGAATATGTCAGGGAAGATAGGGAAGACGTGGAGCAAAGCGGCCGACGTCGGTCGGGACAGAAATCACCTGATCCTTACAGAGACCCCACGCCACGCCACATCACGCCACACATGGCCAAAACTCCGGCGGTGCCTTTTGGACAACAGCTGGCTCAAGGAATCGGCCCCAAAACCGGAAGGATCATGACTAATGTATTCAACCCATATGATTCTTGGACAACTCATGAACAATGAACAAAGCACAACAACAGCCGTCTGGGCCACCCGATCTTCGCCTTCAAGCCCAGAGGTCTCTCATAACAAGGCCAGTCTGTGACCACCTACCTCAAAAAGTCAGCTGCGTCGATCGACTACTTCGACTGTGTGGCTGAGTGGAAAGGCCTGCATCCTTTCGGGCTGAAAGCTCGTCAAAGTCTTCCAGCAACCGGTCGTGGCTCTTCAGAGCAATCCTGAAACCCAAAGGGCAGGCACACCGATGGAACGCAAAGGGCGTGTAGAACATGACTACGCCTCACGGGCACACGCCTGAACCAAATCCCTCCACAAAAAGTTAAATATATACATTGTCATTGTTCATACATTGTTCATTAAACAATCTGTATGTGTTGGCACCAAAGCACATATTGCGGATCTGGTACAAACTGGCTGTGGATCAAACCCGGAGCCCGTGTCACCCTGGTAGGGTGACCTCCTTAGGAGTTTGTTCTGTTCATGTTCGGTCAACCACGGTGCCCCAGTTTGGACCCACAAAAATATCCGATTGATCTTACTATATCTTACCGAACAGGTATAGCGGTATACCGTATACCGCTTTGCATGTCATGCAACCCTCAACCACCGGATTGAGGGATCCATGGCGCTCATTGCTACCACGTCCGGTCAAGCTGCATGTCCGCATCCACGTACCTGTGGAGAGGGTTCGGCATGGGGTTCGGCTGCTGGGAAATGCTTCTAGCCAACCAAGGGACCTACCAAAAAATCTTGTTGGCAATCTGCCTTGTTTTTGCAGGGGACCTCTTTAACATTCGGATCAAGAGTGGAAAAGCAATGAAGCCGACACCGAGACGCAAATGTTCCGGACCCAGAATCGGGACCTTCAAACACAGAACGTGAGGTTGAGCCTTGAGTGAACCAAACTTCTGCCATCGAGGGTCAACCTCTGCAACCTCGCTGAAAAATAAAGGAGGATGCGGATTGCAAAAAGAGGACAGAGCCTGTTTGCTACATTTCTGGGTACCCGATGGTGCCCCCGGTAGTGCCATGAGTCCCGTGTTGTCTGGCCATACAAATTCCGTCTCAGCTTGTTGGAATGCCAGTGGCCGACTGAAGTGACCATCTTGCACTGAATGGGCAACAATTGGAGCCTGAATGGTTTTGTGTTTTTTTCCGAACACGAAATGAAGAATCTTTGTATCAAAGCCGACATACATCCCCACGCATCCGGAAGTAACGAGGACAAAAAACACTCATTGGCCACGGCACAGGACTTTCCGGTATAGCAACTGCCATGACCTTAACTGCAAGGTCACGCAGTCCGCGCCATCCCGGGTGATGGAGGCATGTGGCGTCACCGGCTCTTCCACATAGACCTGCGAGCTGCATGGATGAAGGAGTCGGTGATGGAAATCAAGTGGGACCAACATGCGTCAAACAAAATGTGAGAGCCTGGAATTAGTTAATTTAGTTTAGTTCTTTGAGTGCTGTATCTATTCTACATACATCTACATACATACGACGAAAACCTTGCTGAGCTTGTGCCAAGACTTTAAGAAAAGTACAGTAGGTGGTGAGTCAGTCTCCGCGTGCGCCTTGTCAAAGACGTGCGAAAGCAGGCGCCGGTAGCGCTCATTGATGTCACCTCGTCAAACCAAGGCAAGTCGTACCCTGGTACACGCTGCTGTAGGGTTGGGGGACTAGGCTTTGACGAACTGTCATTTCTGAGGGCCTGAGGGTGACTTGAGACAGGCTTGTTCGCTACGGGGACATTCGCTACCTGATGATCTGTTGAACATGCAAAGCTGAGCAACGACGAGAAACAAAAATTGTTACAACACACCACCCCGACTGCATTCCAGGGTGCTCGTGATCATCACAACCAAATTGTGCTGAGTACCAGTCTTCCTCAATGACGCTGCCAATGCTAAGGCGCCTGGTGCCCAGTTGGGTTCGCAAAAGTGGGTGACAATGGCCATGTCCGTCTTTCTGTTGCTCTCCTTGGGTATCCCAAAGTGAAGAAGCCGGCAGAATGAAGACAAAAAAAGGAAGTGCCAAACGGAGAAAGCAAAATACCTGGCAAAAACAATCCTGGTACTGTACCAAGCTGGTCTTTGGACCTGGCAGTCTGGCAGTAGCTTGGCTTCTTGATTCCGTTTCAATCACAGACAGGTGTCAGATCCGATCAGCAAACGCAGGGTGAACTGATCAGCAGAATTGGCATCTTCACGGACAGCGAAGTCATCGCTCCTCTGGTGCTTGGTGTGCTCTGCAGCTTTGCGCATGTAACCTTGCGCTGGTGCGTGCGTTGTCCCAAAACTCGATGGGAAAAAAGAAACAAAACACGATGTTGGACAGACCAGCATTGTTTCGCTCTACTTGCAGTACAATACAACAATTCGAATTCGCTTCGATCCAAGGCCAGGCCCACAACTTGGTCCCAGGGACTTTGGAAGTGCGACGTGACAGAGGACACATTGGAAACACCTCCAGGCCCAATCTGCGCCTCGAACTTTTTGACATCAACAGCAATCGCCGGGCCGACCAGCACCAGCACCCATGAGCGTTTCATGCGTGAAACAAGTGCCTCACATCCATCGGGGCTGGACCAAAAGTACAATTGTTGTGAACAAATCTTTGTTGATGTTTGTATGAACGTGATTGAAAACGGCCCAGCCCTTCACGGAGACTTTTGGATGAACTGCTAGTAAAGACTGCAGCACAGATTCGATCGACAGCAGCCGTTGCACACTCCGTTGCATTGGCTGGGAAGAACCTCCGCAGAAGGAGTTCATTGCTGCAAGTGATTCATCGAAAATGGTGCGACACATTGTGAATGTGGGAAGTTTGGATTCGGTTGGTAGAACAAATCGTCATAATTGAAATGTGCAACGCCATGCCATGTTCTTTTCCCTCTGCAATTTCTAAAGTGCTCTCGCGAAGAATGTTTATGAAAAGGTTGTCAGACTCCAGAAAGTACAAATCAGAGTGCAAGAGGTCCGACGTGTCTTAATAAACTGACACAGAATGGCAGGCATCTATCATAATTAGTCAAGAAAATTCCTTCGTCTCAGAATCACGGGTGCGGAGTGGTGAAGATGTTTCCTGTGACCAGGGTCCATTGCCGGTGGACAAGCAACACTCACCGATGGAAAACAACTCCGTCACAGAACCCAAGAAGGAAAAAGAAGCGGCGCAAGAAACTCAGCCTTGAAGCTGCTGTGCAGCGTGAACATGGCCAACGCTCTCTTGTGAAGCAATATCAAGATTCAAAAGAAATCAAGCGTTGAAGACCAACGAGCCGACGAAGACAACTGGAGTCAGCAAGAGACACCGCAACAGAGGTGACCGGCCACCGAGCACAGCCGGAGATCACAAAAGAGGCAACCCACTGAAGAAATCTCTCCGACCAGCCCGACCAGCAAAAGCATCCAAAGTGAAGAACCCCCTCACAGGTAATTAAGCCTATTAATTTGGAAAAAGATCACTATTTGGACTCACCCCACTGACTGACGATCGAAATGGTGGTATAGTTATTCCATGTTATTCCACTTCAAACGCGGAAGGAAATCGGCCTTTCGTTGCACGTACCGCAAAAGGTCAGTCTATCTAGTCTTGTGCTGACTGAATGCTACTAGAAGGTCCCATCACACCAACTTCAACTCCTGATTCTGTATGCAAACAAAGACAAGTAGAGACAGCCAGAGACATACCAGGCGGCCCAAAAACGCACATCTGAGACTGGCGGAAACCCACCACACCGAACCCAGACAGCACAGACATAAGAGGCGACCCAGCACCACCGGAGACAAGGGGAGAAAACAAGACGGCCAGCAAAACAATACGACGACAAAGGACCTGCTTGGGGAAAAAAAACAAAGCTCATGATCAGTTGATCTGCCAACATCGATGCCTCAACAACGATTTTCAGTGCTCATCTATAGGGGAGAGCACCGTTTAGCCTCAAATAACACCCTACTAGTTGAAACACTTGCGGCGTTTGCGTGTGTGAAGTGAGATGGTGGGGGGATGTTCTTGTCATTGAACATCTGGGCTTCAGATCACGCGACGTCTTTCTTTTCACACTTCTCTCTCTCTCTCTCTATTGTCTTGATGATTCTGTTGCGCGCGTCCTCGTGCTTCTTATTTCCTTCTCCAACTTGTGAACTCCTTCCTCTTAGATGCCGTGCATCTAGATTCCTTGCCGGTGCTGGCCTTGCCCAACGACGCAGCAAAGGAGCGTTAGATGAAAAGATAGAAAAACATCTTTGGGGCACGGAACGCTGGAAAGCCCGCTTTCATTTCTTGAATGATCATTCCAATAGAGTTCCACTCAGACTGTAGCGCGACAAGCAATTCACTCCCATGGGCTGGTAATGGCTAGCCTCCGGACGAGTGTTGTCTGCAGAGATCTGCTTCGATTCATTGATTCGATACAGATGATACAGGGGTTGTTGTGAGTGCGAACGCACTATACCAGCACAGGGAGGGGTACGCACATCCAGGCCAAATGGGAGGACTTTGCGCTTGCCTCCGACAAGGCTGGAACTTCTGGAACATACTAGAAGCCAACTGTTTCCCTCTCTATCTCTCTCCTTTGTGTTCCAACCGTGACAAAACCAGGCCTACGCCGTGATGAAATAAAGAAGTACTGATGACTGATGACGATAAACATCTAAGACCTTCAAACAGTCTAGCTGCCTAGCTTTTCTTGTCTCTGACATTCGCTCCCTTGAATCTCAGCTGCTGAAAAATTGAAACAAAAGGAAACAAAATACACCGCGCGACGAGAGAAAGAGCTTCCACCCACTTAAGATGAAATGATGGAATCCCCAAAATCCTCAACTTCTCAGACTCAAGCTCATCGGGTGGAAGTTCAGGCTCGATTTGACAATCCAATGTTGTTTCAATCTGACCATGCGTTTGTTGCACCTGCAAGCAAAATGGTCCCTTTTTTGAAACTCGTTCGCTGTGTCCGGTTCCCCTTCGGGTGAGGGTGCCTCCAGCTTCCACCCATAAATGAAAGCACACAGAGAATCACGTACCAGCAGCCCCGCAGTGCATCAAAAAACTGCCAAAGTCAAAGATCACCTGGAAGCGGTGAAGCACACACACCGTCTGTGGATGTCTGTGGTGCGCGGGTTGTGCCTTCGGCACTTCCTCTTGCATTTGCGTGGGCCTAAGGACCAACTGGGGCTAAGCTAAGCCCGATCGCGCGATCAGCTTGCGCGCGTTTTGCTTCAATGGGGAAAAGGGAGTTGCAAAGGCTGCAAATGCCAAGTAGAAGGATTGCTCAAAGCGCCGGCAGTACTCAGTACTGGCGCCCTCTCTAGCAGCAAAGGAGGTGGCTCCTCGTTGGGTTCTTTCATGGGTTTTGTAGCAAGCACGACAATAGCATGCAAGGTCCCTAGAAACATGTGCTAATTGAAGGCCCCGCAGCTTGTTGCAATGATATGTTCAACGATCAAGAGCCAGCACTATGGCTCAAAACTACGGTCATGTCGCAGCTCTTGACCTTGAAAGAAGAGCTGGTAATGGTGTGTTGCTGAGCAATGTTCAAGTATCCGTCGTGAGTCAGCGGCCCAGGATATGTCAAACATGGTGCGCTTGGGACACACTTTTGAAGGCGTCCCATCCAATGTTAATCAACTACCTTTGTACCAGGCTGGCCCCTGGACAGGCTTTGACGGTTTGGCAAGCCTCATATTTGTCAGTTGCACATCATTGTGGTCACCACTGCGCCGCTTTCCAACTGGTCACAACAAAGATGGGTCCAGGTGTGACGCACGTCAAGTCGATCTCTGGTCCGGGAGTCTCTGACAAGCAAAAGTACTATTTGCTATGAGTGTGACTCTGCTTGATCAATGCCTGCAAGGTTCTCAGCCACCAAGCCATGCATGTTTGGCTTGAGGTTGCGAAGGCCTAACTTGGATCGAAAGCACGTCAACTTCCATCCGCAGCCGTCAACTGCATGCGGAACATCGACTCACGCAGCGCCAGGGCAATACCTTTTGTCTCTTGATGAGCCCGCAATCACTTGCCACCGCTCATCTCCGGGTCTGGTGCCAAATGATAATGTCACACACTCCCCGAACCGGGATGGCCTGTGCTCAAACCCAAAGCTCAGCAGAGTTCTGGCTGGCTTCGACATTTTCACGTGTGGGAGCAGCAAAACCGTGTCTTCAAGAGTTGCTGTCCAGGTCACTGGCTGCCAACAAAACCGTCGACGGTCAAACCTTTGCTCCGTTGACAAACTCTGCCCGATATCGCCCGCTTTCCCGCTGGGTCGTGCACCAATGACTTTTCAAAACAAACACCATAACTTTAAAACGGCCATCTAGTAAGGACTCACTTGCTCTAGCCTGGGGCAATATAGACACATTCAATTTTGTCCTTTAGGGCTAAAACCCGAAGGACATGTGGATCAAAACGGGGGCTACTGCTAGCGGCTGAACCTCGTCCAGCGGCGTCTTTGTCAATGTCAAGCTTGACGAGTCTGAATTGCGAATTCATCGTTTGCCCTAGAACTGAGGCAAGTCTTGACAACTCTGACCCAAAGTTTTTGAAAAGCTCGCGCTTGCGAGGCCCTCGTCATATTGCAAGACTTGCCTCAGTTTCAAATAGCGGTCTGTGGCAGCGGTCAGGGGCTGATCTCAAAGCCCAGAGGGGCAACAGTTGGAAGGACATGGATTTTGAACACTAACTGACTGGCAGGGACCTGAACAAGCTCACATGTTGGGCAATCACTTGCAATGTCTGCAGAGTTT